AGCTGATAAGAAACAACTTGAGTCCCTCTGTAAAAATGTAACTAAATAAATTTCCATTCATCTGGAAAGAATTCTATAAGCATCTCCATCATTAGACTACCTAACATGAAGAACCAATCTTTGTAACAAACCATATGGGTAAGGTGATTGCCATGTCCTAAAAGCAAAAATAAGTGAGTAGAAGCAACAAAGGGAGAGGATCCACCAATCTAGAAGGAATCTGGATTTCACTCGGGACAAGTAGAGAAATTTTGGGGTCATCTTCTTAGAAGACCATCAATACCTTCTACTCTGGAGTTCCACAAATTGAGAATGTGTCCCTCCCCTGGTAAGTCAATCAAACATCTACCAATCACCACCAGTGAATCTGATTATACCCTTTCGTCCTGAGAGTCTGAGAGACAGAATCGAGAGTGCTTCAAGCTTGGTGAATGAGTTCTGGGGTGAGGGGCTTGGCAGGGCCAGCAGAAAATGTGTAGCAAATAAGGAGATCTCTTCATTCAGGTTAATCTTCCATAAACAGGTGAGAGAAAATAGGAAAAACCATCTGCAGTGCTTTCATGATCAAGTCAACTATCTTATACTCATTCTCATCTCTGTGTTTTTGCAGCTTTACAGCATATAATGCCTCTTTATCAGCCAATTCCCTCTCCATTTGTTCCATTTGTCTCTGCTGCTCCAGTTTATCCTCCAGCTTTCTGATTTTGTCTTCAAACTCCTTTCTTATCTGCACTCTCTCTCTCTCTAGCTCTGCTGCGTAAAATTCTTGCATTTCTTGCATTTGTTTCTGAATCTCGTTGTCAGCCTTTTGGTACATCTTATTAGTGTAGCATCTTCCTTCATTCTCAGCAACAATGCGCTGGACCAGGGTGAGCAGTTGATTTCTCTGGGCCTCCTGCTCAGCTCCTGTCGCCCGATTGTTGAACACGCAGTAGCGATCACCAAACTTGCCCACCAACTCTCGGATACCTTTGGGTGCTTCCTCTAAGTAATCACGGAAATTGATGCCATCCAAGTCATCTTTCCGGGTGAATAAGAGAATCTTTTTTTTTTCAGAGGTTCTGCCAGAATTGAGGTTCTGAGGCCTGCTTGAGTCTAGCCTAAGTCTCTATGAAATTCCATCCTCTTCCTGCTGTCTGATCTTTAACAGCTGAAAAGACCTCTTTTTCTTTAGGAATGAGGAGATGGCAGAGAGGACCACATTGGTGGCCTTGCCTGTCCCACTGATCGCTCCGGTCCTCCCTGGGTGATTCTGGGAAGGGCTCTCAAAGAGGGCATTTTCTGGCATGGAGAAATTACCCAAAAAGCAAACAGCAACTGGATATAAGAGTAGTGGGCAGGGCCAAAACTGAGAACAGGCCTCAGAAATCTAAACTGCCTTCACTGAAGTTACAGGCAGCCCTCCGGGAACAAGATGTGGTGCCACAGCGGCCCGGAAAGGATCAGCACAGTCCCAGCAAAAGCAGGGGTTAGCAGTGAAAGAACTCAAAGGCACTACTGCTGCCGGCCCAACACCTGGCCATGTCCCTGTCACTAAATCAGCACCACTGGGCCCCTCCTCCCTGGGCTCTGAGACTTCCTCCCTGCTCTGTGCTGGCAGGAACAGCCTCTGTACTCACAACCCAAGGCACAGCACCAGGTCGTGGGTTTCTGCAGCCAACAGCAGGGCCTGTCACCACTCTGCTAGAAGATGCTACACACGGGGAGGAAGGAGCCACCTGGGCAGAGGGGAGTGGAGAAGTGGGGGCGGGTAGGAGGGCTGTGGAGTTCAGGGCCTGGTTGCAGCTCACTGAGTGGGCGCCTGCATTCTACTACCTCATAGGAAGGGGAGCAGGATCTACAAGAATAACCCCCCCCTTCACCCTTGCAGGCTTTTCAGGGAGCCTGATTTTCAGAACAAGCGGAAGAAGAAATGGTAAGCATCTTCTCCAGCAAGTGGAGCCGCGCACACTTACTTGGGACTACATATCGTTCCTGCCATGCTCCTCGCCTGGTCAGAAAGGTGTTTGTTAGAAGCACTGTCAGGGCTTTGAGCAGCTGGAGAAGGCTGCAGACACTCCCTCTGAGGGCATGTGCAGCCAAGGAGAGAGACATTTCTGAGGACAAACAAGTGAGTCTAACCTCAGAACACATCAGCAGAGTGGAAATCGTGTCTGTGTTGAGCCTAACCCCACTACACCCTCCACCTCCTCAGCCCTGTGCACCCCCCAGGGACTTGCAGGGTGACAGCAACAGTTATGAACATGGTCTTCAGACCTCTGCAGAGGCATGTGCTTGTGTGTCCTTACACATCCCGTCCCTTAAGTGCCCAGGAACAGGGCTCTGTGCTGGGAGCCAGCTTCAACCCACACACTGGCTATAAGTGAAGGGCGGACAGGATGAATGCCCAGAAACTCAGAGCAGGGACCCATGCATTAGAATCACTCAGGGGGTTGGGAGGGTGCCTCGGTGGGCTTGGTCCATTAAGCTTTGAGCCTGGGATGGATTCTGTGCTGTCAGTTCAATGCTTGGAGCCTGCTTTGATTCTTCATCTCCCTCTCTCTCTCTCTGAACCTTCCCTGCCTATGCTCATGCTCTGGTCTCAATATAAAATCTCTCAAGAAAATAAATAAACAAATAAAACAAATTAAAAAAAAAAATCCTCAGGAGGAGAGATACCGTTTTTTTAAGTTTATTGTTTGTTTGTTTGTTTGTTTTTTGTTTTGAACAGACAACGAGCAGGGGGAGGCTGGAGATGAAGAAGAGAATCCCAAGCCGTCTCTGCTATCAGCACAGAGCCTGATGGAAATGCAGGGGCTCCAAACCCCACTGACCATGAAATCATAAGCTGAACCAAAATTAAGAGTCAGACACTTAACCAAGACTGAGCCACAAAGGCACCCTTTTTCTTATTAAAGTACAGATCTATGAAACAAAGGTCAAATATATATTTAAAGACTCCATAGATACTTCCAAAAAGTACAGGAAGCAGTTCAGGGGATTACATAATATCTAATTGCATTGAAGATGGCTAGAAGAGTCTCATGTTTCTACATCAATCAATGACTCAAATACCCAAGCTCTAAACTTAGCATGTCAGATGTCAGCTTTCAAACTCTGTTCTGGAAGAATTTTTCAAATCCATCCCAAACCATTTAAACCTTTGGGAGGAAGTCCCATAGGGACCAAGGTCCAGGTCAGTGGATTTCCTAGAGCACACTTGGTCATTTTCATCATCGATAAGACGTCTTGTTTGCTTTAGCTAAATTCTTGTTCTTTTACTGAATCTTCTGGCTGTTTCCTTTCATGCAGTTCTGCTGTGCAGCGCAGTCAGTTGTTTGCTATTTTACACAAGATTTTCTCACATAAGACCTGTGGGATCAACTCTACCAAGGGCGCTTTGGGGAGCCAAAGGCGCGGCGGTGCATAAAGGTGAAACCTGGCTCATCTATGCCGGTATGTTGAGATTATCCAATCCCAACCCTTTGCTTGTCTTGTGTGCTGCCCGCATGGATTTAAGCAAGTCTTACAAAGCAAATAGCCATGAAGTAGTATTTAAATGGATAGTGGAGCAGAAATAGGACTCTTTGAAGCAAATGGGAAAGGAAAGGTCAGTCCTTAGGGTGAGTACAGCTGGGTTGGAAAGGCCCTGAAACCTGTCCTCTGCAGAGCAGCTGACCCAGAAGGGGAGTGAGTGGGGGACATGGCTGGGGCTGGGCCGAAGCAGACAGAGCAGAATCAAGCCCTTGTGACCAGGTCCTCGTGAGATCAAGCAGACTCCATCACTGAGTGGCTAGCTGTAGTAAAATCCTGCCGGACTTGGGGTCATAACTTAGTTTGAGAGGCCTCTCAGATTCGGGGCAGGGAACACCAGGATGGAACCCGGAAGGAGTGTCCCATCTCTCCAGCACACAGGTCATATTACACAAATTAAATGACAAGCCAAATTCTTTGGTCTTCGGAGAGCAGATCTGGGTTCTTCACATCAGCATGGGAGATAGGTATCCTTCAATTTTCAAAAGCAAAAACTGCAAACTCTCTTCTTTGTCCTCCCCCCCCCCCCTTTTCAAGACCACCTCCCGGCCCATCCCCGGCCAACCAGCCCCTAAGGTGGTTCCCTATGTCACTGAGGAGAATTTCTGATTCTAAGGGTTTCAAGTTTCCCCTGGCTGTAGGACTTCTGGGAAAACTTTGTGCCTACAGTTAATGCCACTGACATAAATTACCTGGGAAATTCTCAACTAAGGCTCACTCCACTGAGCCACAGAGGACAGGTTATCACTTCCACTCTGTCATTTTGCATTCACGGTCCCTGAAAGGACCCAACGAGGCTCACCAAAGGTTCTCACGGTTTGGTTCAACACCAACCAGGTCCTTCCAGGTTCTTCCCAAATTCTGATGTTCAGGAGGAGGAATCATGACTTTTCATTGGGATGTCACCAGCTCTTTGAACCTTGCCTGGGCCACCAAGTAGTTATACCTGTTCATTACAACGAATGAATGATTGAAGGAATGAAGGAACTAACAGGTTGTGTTTGGAACTCTTTCAGGTGGGCATGGGAGGCATCTAAGATGGCCAGAGATGAAGAAAATGCCTACGGTAAGAACTGATCTCAGTGTATACTTGCCCCTAGGCATCAACTCTGGGTCCCAAGGCCATGGGCTAACTCAGACTGAACAGGGCATTGGGGCACCTGGGTGGCTCAGTTGGTTGAAGCTGCCTGACTCAGCTCAGGTCATGATCTCGCCAGCTCGTGAGTTCAAAACCCACGTTGGGCTCTGTGCTGACAGCTCAGAGCCCTGGAGCCTGTGTCAGATTCGTCTCCTCTCTCTCTATCCCAACCCACTGCATTCTGTCTCTGTCTCTCTCAAAAATAAATAAACATTAAAAAAAAAAAAAAAAGACTGAACAGAGACAAAATCCCAGACATGTGCCTTACATGCTGGGTGAAACAGCTAGAGCCCAGGCTTTGCATTTGCTGGACCTCTGCCATGCCCTACTGTAGGATATTAAGTGCCTTGACTAGCCTGTGCCTTGGGTCCCAAAGTTTTAAATGAGGATAATACATCTACTCCGATCCCCACAGAAGATGTGGAGGTTGAGATCATGGACTAGAGGAACACTGGGTTTACCAGGTGTGACTGTGTCCGTGAACAAGATGGAGGTTAACTGTGTCTTACTGGAAGCAGGTTTCCTAGAGAGAAGAGGGAGGAGGGAAGTGGAGGGAAGGAAGAAGCAAAGATCCTGTCACCTAATACTCTGAGCAACCCTGGGAGACACAACTCTCTGTCACCCCTCCCATTATGCAGAAGAGGCATTGAAGCGCTTAAACTAAACTTGCCCAGGGTTCTACAGCTGGCACATGCGGGGCTGTGATTCCAACTGGGTTGTCTGGGACTCAGACCCTGGCCTCAGCCTGTGCCCTCCCGCATCCCTTCCTCTCATGGCTGGCTCGAGAAGTCTGGCAGAGGCTCGTTGCCTGGGAAAGTGATGGAGCAGCTCTGCGGCAAAGTGGAATGACCAGAGGCAATATTCGGGGGTCATGGCTCAGCACTGGGCCGAGGGGGACTCAGGCAGTGTGCCGGTGCAATCAAGCAGAATAGCATGGACTGGGGACAGTGTACTCTTCATCAGGAAGATGAAGAGTGGGCAAAGGCCTCTGAGTCTACAAGTCTGGCACTCATGTATCCTGGGAAAGGCCTGGTGCTGGACAAGCAGAAGCGGAGGCGTCAGCCTCTGCCTGCCTATTCAGGGCACTGCGACACCCCGAGCCTGTGAGCTGGACGCCATCTCTCAGGCGTCAGCTCATCTATGCATACCTACTCTGTCTCTGCTAAGTTCCCAGATCTGGACGGCCGGCGGCAGCTCACTTCCCAAAGAGAGCTCAGGCTCAGGCTCATCCCCTGGCTGGGACCGGAGTGGGCAAGAGCGCCACGGGCAACAGCATCCTGGGCCACAGCTCTTCCTGTCCAGGCTCAGCCACCCCAGCTGACCAGAAGGCGCCTAAGCCTGGGAGGCCGCAGCTGGGCCGGGTGGCTGTGATGGAGG